TATCTTTCACCCATTTGTGTTATATACTAGAAAATAAGCAATGCTGTGTTTTTCCTCCTTTCTATATTTTTGGATCCATTTTATTTCTCTTCTAAAGCTACCCTACTTTCATTGATTTCCTTTATCATATTGCCTCGGATGAAGATGCCAACCTTGCCTTTAGCCTTTTATTCATCCCTGTGCATGAATGTGGTCTTGCGATTGCCCCATTTTCCTGTCATTCTAAAACCTCATGAAGGGGGAGTTGCCACTTTTTTCACATGTATGCCAGGCACATCAAAAAGTCATGCTCCGAAGAAGCCATTACATGCCATGTTGCAGGTATGAATTTGTAATAAAGAAATCATTTTTATTTTTTCAAAATATAATAGAGGGGAAGAAACACAATTAACATTGTTTACTTCATGTAAGGCCCACTTCAAAGCCCACTGAAATCAGAGTGTCTTTCCACTGACGTCAGCGAGCTTTGGATCAAGCCCTCATAAAAAGTAATGCCGTGAATAACAGCAAACTATCATTTTATTTCATCTTCTTGCATGTTTTCAGTGCCAAATGTAATCATCAGTAGATTCGTAACAGTGATTGATAGTTCAAAGCACTAGTATCCAGCTAACATTCAATGTATTTTTGGTTTTCCATTATTACTATTAGTTTTTTGTACCCATATACATTATTTTAGCATGTTTGCCGTGACTTTTGTTTACAGCCTTTTCATCAATAGCTATCTCTGCAGCAAACCATGCTGACTCCAGAGCTTCCATAGCAAGTCTTGACTCTAACCCAAGTACCAATGAAAAAACCAGTGAGAGAACGGAGGCCTGTGAAAAGGTACATGCGCAAACAATTGAAAACAATTCTTAGAGTTAAAAACGCTATCTTGGTACTCAGTAAGCCAGTTGGTTTCCATTTCCACAGATTGTGAGGCCTTTGTCTTTGATCGGATCAGCTCTCCGCTTTGACAAGTTAGATCAGGCTGAAACTAGAAGCCTTCTTATGTGTTTCCTTCACATTATGAAAACAATTTCGGAAGGTAAAAAAAAAAAATCCCCAGAAAGCATTTTTTTACTTGTAATGTTATAACGTCCTTAGAGCTTAGTGTTACGGCTGCACTGCACACTGCTCTCAGCGGTACGTGTGCAACACCGTGTCCACGCTATGGTGCACAGCTATGTGTATCAGTGAAAGGCTCTGGCCAGAGAGCCATCAGGGAAAGGCTTCAGCAGCTCCCTTCTACCGAAGCCTTTCACTTCAGCATTGAAGACTCTGGCAAGGGCCCCCAGTCTCCTGTCTGCTCTCCCCTACCTCCAGAGCAGGGCTACAGCTGGGAGTGGGCCAAGAGCATGGGGCTGGCAGCTAAGACCCCATGTGCAGACCAGGAGCAGAGCCCCAGAAGTGGGGCTTGGGGCCAGGTGTAGGGCCCTGAGCAAGGGATCTAGCAGCCGGGGAGTGGTGTGTGCGGTTGGGGTGGAGCCCTGGGCATGGGCAAGTAGACAGGGCATCGCATAAAACCGGGGGGGCGCTGCAGCACTCCACTCCCACCCCACACCTCTAGTTCCTCTGCCTATGTTCCCAACTTCCAGAGTCTTCCCCTGCAGTGGGAAAAGGCTCCAACAGCAGGGAGCTGTTCTTCCCTATGGCAGGAGCCTTTCCCCACTTCTCCCCTGCCAGAGCTTTTCCCCGCTATTGGAGTCTTTTCCTGCATAGCGAGAAACTACAAGAATACAAATTGCAACATAGATGGGAAGGCACAGCATGGGTGACTGGAGAGCCATGTAGGGTATATACTTGGGTATATATGCCCACCTTCCGGTGTGTCTATATTCTGCTTGCCTAAGCTGTACCATTACCAACTATTAAACCTGTGCTGGGTGGCTACTGGAGTACATACTCTACATGCAGCGAAAAAAGCGTACAGTGTTAACTTAATCTAAAGTCAAAGGAAAACTTCTCAGTGTCTTAAGTGAGCTTTGGATAAAGCTCTCAGTTTCCAATGGTTGCTAAATTCCTACATTTTGATGTCTGTTCCCAGATACGCTGATTTCCTACTGGCAAAGAGCTCCATTCACAGAGATAGCTGACTTTTTCAACCTTTTAGAGTAAGTTCACTTTCAGGTTTGCTTGCTGGCTTGTTAAATAATATTGTTCTCTAGCAGCTGCTGTAAGTAATAGTATTTTTTTAATCTGGGTAAAATTCAGGCATGCTGATGATTAAAGGCCATAGCATTCCTTATGTTGGCAATTTCTAGGCAGAAGTTAGGAAACTCTTTGGGGTTTTCCTCACAGAATTGTGTATGAATTCTCCCATTTGGGGTTGAGATTCTCTGCGTCTCCTCTTTCTCATGGGAAGAGGAAGGACTTTGTCACCCCAAACCAGATCTTTGAAGAATCAATGGATTCCAGAGCTATCCACCTTCCATGCACTCCTAGCCTTGACCTAATTTCTCTGGCTCCTTTAAAGCTCAACTCCTAGAGTTTCCCTGTCTGTAACTGAAACCAGAACCTCCTAAGCAGCTCAGCTGTAAAAGACGGGTAAGATGAAACTGACTGGGTTAGCATTTACTTTGTCACAAAAGTTCCATAAAGTTGCTGGAAAAACTGTCCTCCTGCAGACATCCCCATGGTTCTCTCCTGACCATGCAGAAATTCCAGGTCCAGGGAAATGAGATGGGCAATAATAGAGTGGAAGTGGTAACCTCCCCTTCTGCATCCCCAATTCTGGGAGCTGCTAGGTCTTGGACCATTTGCTAAGTGGTGGGTTTATCATGGGAGATCTTAAAAAGATCAAGACTCAGACTTTTTGCAAAAATAGCATGTGTCTGCACTAAACAGAATCATTACAAAATGCACTTCATGATTTTTCAGGGTTTGCCTGCAAAATTTCAGATATATAGGAAAACGAAACATAATCAGGTAATTATTTTTTACTTATACAATATAAATTACATAGTTATTTTAAGTATTACTGAGGGGGTTAATCCTTAGATAAAAGTCATCCATATCCATCCATTTCATTCTGAAAGTGTCTTTGTGAAGTATGGTAGCGGACCTACACAGCTTTTTAAACCTATGAATGTTTGGAGTTCAAGTACTATCGCCATTTTCTTAGGCAAACAGATGGATTACTTGTGATAATATAACTGTTACTGTGCCGTGTTCTATCACAGTGTACAGATCCCTCTATTTGTCACCATAGACCTGTGAGAGAATGGCGCTATCGTGTATTGATGCACGCTTTAAAAACATTAGAAACCGAGATTCCCTTAGTCCTCATAGTTTTCTTTATCCATAACACTGATGAGCATGAGGTCATTTTTCCAGCTGCCAAGCATGAAACGTGCACTTCTGTTTCACCCTGTTATGATGCTTTATTTTTCATTTCATGCTATAACAATGAGCATTTCTGTCTGTCATATGTTCAGGAGCAAAATGAAGAGTTGCTGTATTAACCAATTCATACTTTGTATCATGTTTTGCCAGATACATTCGTGTTTTTTCACTGACATGACCTGATCAGTGGCACGTACCATAATACAGTTAATGTTTATTTTCTCTTAACAGGAAAATTGCTGCTGCATTTAAATTTGCTCAGGCCACCCAGAATAATGGAACTCTTAAAGGGTCTAACTCATCTTGCCAAACATCTGGTCTGTTGCCGCAATGGTAATTAATATGTTTTTAACATCTTAAGCCAAATCCAGAACAAATTAGATCTAAGCAATGTCTGAATCTCATTTACATCCTAAAACATCTGGGGAAAGATTGGAGTTGGCTCTATTGAGTGTTTGAGACAGGTGTCTTATTGCCTCAGCTGAACATCAAGGAAATGGGAACATCTTTCTAGATAAAGAAGATCAAGAGTGTGGGCTGAATGGCCTGAGGTAGCAGCCCTAGGAGCAGCTGCGCTAGGAGAGTGAATTTCTGATTTATGTGGTTTGTAGGCTTTGTCAAAGAGCAGGCTAAGAGAAGCTCTGTTCACTCCCCTCTGTGCTTTTCAGATACGTCTGTTTATTTATGTGCAGCTGATTCAAACCTAATAAGCCTGTATCATGGTATATGGATGGGAGAAATGAAACATGAAGAAAAGGAAACATTCCTTCCTCCTACCCCCCTCCAGAATAAGCACTGATCTCATTTTCACAGCTGGAATTGGCAAGGTGCCTTTGAATTAAAGCATGAAGTGGCCATTGTTTTGCAGCACATTTATAGGAGAAACAGCATGGTGGTACAGAATTAGAAAACCACCACAAACGAGGCACACTGCAGCTGTTTCCACTGATGACTACAGTCTGCATCCTCCCAAAGCAGCATTTAGTTCTTCTGGCTATTAAAAAAAAAAATAAAAAAAAAATTGAGGAATGGCAGAGAGATAAGTTAAGTGAGAAATTAAATATTGTTACTTTTTAATGTCCCTTCTGACTTGCACTCTGCTTTTGAAGGTTAACTTACATTCACTGACAAACAATCTATTTCCATGTAGAAACAGATTTTCAAAATAGAGTAAGATTTTTCAAGTGTTCAACAGTTGAATCAGATTTTCACTCAGCAGTTCTGACACTTAGAACTGGATTTGCAGCATGTTGGATAGCAAAAGTCTGGGCGCTGACAGGGAGCTGGGCTCTTTTGAAAGTCTAAGAATAAGTTTAATATAATCAAATAATTACCAACACATCAGAGACTTCTTTAGTTTAGAAGAAATTAGATATAAATGCTCAATTTATGGTTGAAACTGTTGCTTTTATACGTACACATGTAGAAGGGCCTTTCTTTCCTTGGTTACTCCTGGTGGGGAAAGGTGAGTGCAAAGTTCGTATTTTGCCTGTGTGTATTTGGCAGAGAGGAGACTCCATTCTTTGGGAGAGCAGGTGAGGAGCTGATGGTGTTAGAGTGGAGTCACTATCTGTGGCATCCTGCTTTCTTTGCTCGCAATCCTATGGTACAGCGGTTCCCAATCTTTTTGATACTGGGGACCAGTAAACCCATTCACAAGCTTTTTGGAGGACCGGTAACGTTTATTTGCATTTTTGCATATTCATTAAGCAAATGATGAATATGCAAATAAATTGTGCTACTGGCCCTACCTGTCCAGTAGGTTGTTCTGCCCACCCCCCACAGGCCCAATCCCAGCCGCTTTATTGGCTGGTGCTGGCTTCCCCGGCTGCGTCTGGCACTGGGTGTTCTGTGTCGGTACACACGGCATCCGGCCTTCTCCCTGGATCCTAACACCCACCAGATCTAGCCCCGCTGCCTGGGAGCATGCCAGGCAGAAATGCTGCGGTAGCGGGCTTTCTCCCAAGAGGGCCACACCACTGCACTCGGCAGTGTGGGGTGCTGCTACGCTGTCACACAAATTAATAGGATCATGAACGATAATTTTTCTAAGGACCGGTATTTTTTTTCTAAGGACTGGTACTGGACTGCAGACCACATTTTGGGAAATGCTGCTATGATAGATCATTGCATAATAAACGCTGGTGACCTCATCATACACCATACACCCAGTTTCCTCTGAGAAGAGGCTTGAGTCATTAGGGAGCTTAAAGGACCATATTTTTCACTGGGAGGGTAATATTGGAACAGCTCAAGTGTGGTAGATTGTCAGTCAGTTGAAGCCCTTAAATCAAGATTGGTTGCCTTTCTAAACATGCTCTAGCTCAGCCAGAAGCTATGGGGTTGATGCTGGCAAATTTTCCTGGCCTGTAGGGAGATGTAGGATAGCAGAGTGTCACAATGGTATCTTCTGGCCTTAAAGTCTAGTAAAGCAAGATCTCCTTCAGGATCACGTTGAAATGGAAACTGTGAGGAGTCAATGTAGAAGCATTAGATCTCTGCTTGGATGGTTTTTGGCAGTTATTCTGAGTGTTTTGGTTGTCTGGAAACTTATAATTTTCAGTGAAAAAATCCTGTTCCCATTCCGTGATAGAGCATGGGATTAGGAACCTGCAGAGAAGGGAAAGGTTGGGAGTAACCTCTCCTTCTGAGGGATTGATCAGGTGCTAACTATAGGTCAAATTTTATGCAGATTCTAGATTTGTGTGCAAAAAACATGTGCAGGGACAAGAATACTAGACAAAATTTTCAAACCTGTGTCCTTAAAGTTAGGTCTCTAAATCCATATTTAGTCAGCTAAATAAAAGAGGCCTGATTTTCAGATATGTTGTCAGCTCACTGAATTCAGCAGTGGATGCAGATTCCCAGTACTTTTGAAAATAAAATCATTTTCATGTTGGAACCTACATCTGAATGTATGTTCCTAAATGTGGTGCCATTAGTTTTAAATGTCTTCTGTTTAGTGTAATATTTCATTGTATCAATTAGCATCAAAATTGTATCAATTAGCATCTTTTCTATTATCACTGTCGATTCTAAAATCATCAAGACTTGATCTTTTCTATTATCACTGTCGATTCTAAAATCATCAATCCCTATTTTTTATTAATTGTGTTTAATACTTTGTGATCTTAATATTTCTCTGCATTCTAAACCAATAGAACTCAACTTAGTTCCTCTTCCCTAAGGGCTGTTGGGGAGACATTGGTCATCTGTTAAAACCAATGCTTCTCCTAGGAGTAAGCAAATGTTATGTCTCATGTGAGCTGAAGAAGTCATAGAACATCTGCTTGAGTTATATATATCTTGCTGACTTAATTCTTCAGCTGTATTATCTGGAAATATTTTGCCTTGGTTGGCCTCCCTTATGGTCACTGAGAAATACTGAAGATAATCCTGATAGACATTGAAAAAAAACATAGAGACATGTCCGTTTAAATAAAAAATGGTGCTCTCTCAATTTCAGGATGCTTTCTACTTCCAGTCATGATGGCCACAAACATCACAGATCTCAAACGCTACCAATAATCCGTGGCAAAAATGCATTTTCCAACCCCAAACTCTTACAAATGATAGACAGCAGCATGGCAAGTGAGTATGAAGGAAATGAATATACTATTCTGACTGTCTCTCTGTCTTAGCTTTCTCTATAGATCCCATCACCATAATGTCTAAGAATCTGATCCAAAGCCCATTGATGTCAATGAACATCTTTAAATTAATTACAATGAGCTGTGCATCAGGTCCCAAGGGCTGAAATTGTACTTGTATGAATATTAATACCTGGACTACAGACCTATAAAGCAATAATCCCCCAAGACTTTCAAGCATCAGAACCTGAAGATAGGTACCGAAACCCATATTTAGAAAATGAAATTAGCATCTTGAGTTCCTATGGACTTTAGTGAACTTAGACCACCTACGATTTTGCCTAGCTCTTTGAGTTCCTTGGTAATTTGCACCAGCTGAGAACCTGTCGCTGGAGTATTGCACAATCAAGTGTGCAAAGTTGAAATAAGATATGTGCTAGAGCTGGTAAATAGTGGGGTCTCTATTTGCAAATATTTTCTGGAAAAAATTGTCCTTTCCATTGAAAAATTTTCGAAGTTCTGAATTTTTCAAACGTCTTTAATCATGACAGATGAAGTTCTTCAAAATACATTGTAGCTGTGATGGCTGAAAATTGTCATCGTCTTTTCATTTCCACATGCTTTAATCTGTGCGAAACAGATTTTATGAAAATAGATTCCTTAAATTACATGGACATTTTTCTTTTTAATAAAATGAAGAGGCAATGTTTTGTGTCCTCATTAAGATGCAATGTATATTGGATATTTAAAAATAATAGGTATCCTTAAAACATACATACACATGTCTCTGTTTAACAATAAGAATGATGTTTTGTGTCAGAGAATACAGCAATGTGACCTCTTGCAGTAGACGCTTTAAAATGCTTTAAAAATAATGTCCTTTCACCCTCAGCATTGCAACTCACTGGAGTGAATTGTAGCATTAAACTATTGTTCTAGAATTATAGCATTTACAGACAAGACAAGCATGTGCTAATACATGTTGAACAAATAGTGCCAGATTTTTGCAGCCATTGCATCGCTAAGTGAGGTAAAAGACTTAGGGTACGTCTAAACTTCCGTCGACAAAGAGCGTCCAGACACTGCAAGCTGCTTTGTCGACAGAACTCCGTAGTCTGGACGCAGTGTTACAGGCAATAACACCTTCTGTCGACAGAGTTCTGTCGACAGAAGGTGTTATGCCTCGTAAAATGAGGTATACCAGCGTCGACAAAACTGCTGAGTTCTGTCAGCGGTAGTGTAGACGCTGGCAGCGGTAGTGTACAGAACTCAGCGGTAGTGTAGATGCAGGTTTAGTTTTGTCGACAAAAGTCCACTTTTGTCGACAAAACTCGGTAGTCTAGACACACCCTTAGAGTCTTTCTTCTCCAGTTGCCACCATGACCATAGTTTTGTGTAATGGGCAGCCAGAATGGCAGTGTTTATACTCCCTGCAGGGTGAGGTGGAGTTTTAGTTCCACCAGTGAGTTAAGATATCCTAAATAGATGCGGACAGTGTCCCATAAGAGTTTCATTTTCCCCATGTACTCAGAAGTCAAACCACATGACCTTGTCCTTTACCGGTGGAGTGCATCCAGTCATGTGTAATCACTAGTGGTTTAAGGCCCTCTACACACACACCTACAAATTAGCCCTTAACAGTCCTATAGAATACAGATAGATGGACCCAAAAAGGATATGTAACTAATGGCAGACTATGTGAGAGGAAATGTCAAGTATACATTTGTTTATTGCACATAATTTTTTTCTGAAGGAGATGGGATGATAGAATATAAATCATTTTTCAAATCTCTTGTCAAGCAGAATATAATCTGTGATGAAAAAAGAAAACAAGGAATCAATATTCTCCAAAGTTATAGAATCAGAGAATACTAAAACTGGGAGAGACCTCACGATGTCATCAAGTCCAGGCCCCTGCCCTCATTGCAGGACTAGGCAATTCCTCATAGATGTTTATCTAACCTGCTCTTAAATATCTTCAAAGATGGAGAAGCCACAGCCTCCCTAGACACTGTTTAACCACACTGACAGGAAGTTTTTCCTAAAGTCCAACCTAAACCTCCCTTGCTGCAATTTAAGCCCATTGCTTCTTGTCATATCATCAGACATTAAAGAGAATAATTTTTCTTCCTTTTAACACCTTTTTAGGTACTTAAAAACTGCTACCATGTTCCTTCTCAGTCTTCTCTATTGCAAACTAAACAAACCCAGTTCTTTCAGTCTTTCCTCATAGGTCATGTTTCCTAGACCTTTAATCATTTTTGTTGCTCTTCTCTGGACCTTCTCCAGCTTTTCCACATCTTTCCTCGAATGTGGCGCCCAGAACTGGACACAATACTCCAGATGGGGCCTAATCACTGCAGAGTAGAGCAGAAGAATTACTTCTCATGTCTTGCTCACAACACTTCTGTTAATGCATCCCAGAATGATGTTTTATTTTTTTGCGACAGTGTCACTCTGTTGATACAAATTTCGCTTGTGGCTCACTCTGACCCCTAGATGCTTTTCTGCAGTACTTCTTTGTAAACAGTCACTTCCTATTTTGTATGTGTGAAACTGACTGTTCCTCCCTAAGTGGAGCACTTTGCATTTGTTCTTGTTGAATTTCATCCTATTTATCTCAGACCATTTCTCTAGTTTCCCCCAGATCATTTTGAACTATGATGCTATCCTCCAAAGAACTTACACCCCCCTCCCAGCTTGGTATCATCTGCAAACTTTATAAGCGTATTCTCTATGCCATTATCTAAATCATTGATGAAGATATTGAACAGTACGGGTCCCAAAACTGATCTCTGCAGAACCTCACTTATTATGCCCTTCCAGCATGATTGTGAACCATTCATAACTGCTCGCTGAGAATGGTTATCCAACCAGTGATGTACCCACCATATAGTAGCCCCATCTACATTGTATTTGACATGATTTGTTCTTCACAAATCCATGCTAACTGTTACTTATTGAAAACGTTGAAAAGCTATTACAACACTACCAAAATTGAAGCAAACAACCCTCTTCCCCTGCTTAGCTTAAATGCACGTTTTGAAATGAATATGGACTTTAGAAGCAGTTCTGTATCTGGCTGGGGGATTGTTTATCCTGTTATTCACTTGTTGTTCTCTTGCCACTTCTTTTGCTATAGGCAGTTCCAATGAAACAGACATTGTACATTATGCAGACACAGAGGCAAATATTGCCACAGAGGTTTGCCTCACCATTCTGGACCTACTGTGTCTTTTCACTGAGAACTACCAGGTAATGTTATTTGACTGAAAATTCTGCTTGAAATGGTGTCATAGGCTTGAGCAAAAAAGAAAAAAAATTAATGAGTTTCAAAATATGAACATGTTACAAAAAATCCCCAATGTAATGCCAAATTATGCCATTATAGATGGGTTTGGAGGTGGAGGTACTGACCTAACAAGTCCTGTCTGTGCAGAAGAGCTAGTTAAAGGGATGATCCATGAAAACTGTCACTTGCAATGGTGTAATAAAAGTAATGCTTTGATCTCCTATAAACCTATTAAAGAATCGTAGTACCTTTGTAAAGGTACTGTAAAGAATCGCAGTACCTTTACAAAGGTTTGTATTATCCACATTTTTTTAAATGGAGAAATTGAGACCTAGAGACATTTTTGCTGAAGACCGTGGGAAATGTGGATGCTAGGTACCTCTTAAAATCAGGCCAGTAATCAAGCCATTCTTGCAACATAGACAAAGTGGCTAATTGTAGGCACTTAAGTTAGAAAATATCGGCCTAATACACTTACCCAAGGTCACACAGATAGAAAATGGCAGCCATCAATAGTACAGTTATCATGAGTCCCATTTCCCTGTCCTAAGTGATATATTGAGCAGTTAGTATTAATGAGTAGGCAGAACAAACAGTGTAATACAATGGTCCCTTATTGCTGTAGGTCTGAGGAGCCTGTAGTCCATGGGTGTACTGCCTTATATCGCTGATAGTCCCTAAACACTTGTAGGGATGATGCCCATGGGTACTGCCTTATATTGCTGATAGTCCCTAAACACTTGTAGGGATGATGTTAAAGATACCACCACATTTGGACACATTAGGAGTTGGTGAGAAAAGCAAAAGGAATCATTTTCTGTTCCCGTATTTTTTAAATGTGACCATCTGGTTTGTGTGTTGACTTTTCAGAGACAACTGCAGCAATCTGACTGCCAAAATCCATTGATGAAAAAGGTTTTTGATACCTACCTGCTCTTTTTGCAAGTCAACCAGTCGGCAATAGCCCTCAAGCATGTCTTTGCCGCCCTGCGGTTGTTTGTGAGCAAGGTAACTATACTTTTATTCCATCTGAAAGCTATTGCATAAGGTTGGAAGGACACTAACAAATCCAACTTTGTGGAGGATTTCACACTCTAAGGTGCTTTATGTCTCTTCATTTCATTGGTATTTAGGGATCAGTGTTGAAAAAGACCCTTTGATTTACTACATGCAGTTTTGTAGTGCAAGTAATTATGGAAGCATTTTCTAATACTTAGACACCGAACTATTTCACTATGCCTGGGAATCAGGTTTGAAAGCTACAAAATCAGAGCTAGAGATAAAGCCCTTTTAGAAAACAATAAGGATTTGGCAGATGCATTATAGTGATGGCTGAGGAGAAGTGGAAGAAATGCCACTATAATTTTGTAACATTAAGCAAAATGGATTTGATTGTCTAATCCCGTACATGTAACACAGAGAAGGGGAAAAGATTAAGCTACATGCTGGTCTTCCAAAATGGTTGCAAATTGAAAAATAAATGACCATGCCTCTTCCAGCAACATAGCTCAAAGGCCAAAGGAAGCATAAGACAAACCAGCCAATGCCTGCTCTAAATTACACACCAGACTGCCAGGAGCCAGAGGAGCATGTACAGTGGCAGGAGAGGAAATACCTAACATCATCTGATCCATCCATTCCATTGCCTGCAGGGGTTGTGTTCTTTCTCCAAACAGATGTAGCCATATTGATCTCAGTAGTGGCTCCTGTGAGGATAATAATCTCTTATATCCATCTAGATCTGCACCCAAAATGCTTATCTTCTCCCTCCTCATTCCTTCTGTTTTCTACTGTCTATCCTATGATCAGTAGCTTCCAGCAAACAGAGGCACTTGGTCCTTTACATCCTATGCTTTCTGCCTTCTAATGCTGTTCAGACTGTTGGCCACAGGCATAGTAATCATTAGAAAAAAGCAAAATTTTTCAGCAAAATTTTTTTGGCAAAAATATCAGATCTGGCAACAGTGAGATGTTTTACAAATTCATGCCAATTTCACCAAAGTGTTTGTTTAGAAAATAACCTAACACTCTCTCCATATCCTTCCCCAAAATAAGAATGTTTCCATTTTGGGTTTGAAGCAATTTTCTGTTTTTGAATGTTATGTTTAAATAAATCCAAAAGCATTTTAAAATGCTCAAATTAAAATATTTTATTTCAGGTCAACTGAAACATTTAATTGAATCAAAAACATTTTTTAAAACTTTTGGATTTGCCAAATATTTGAAAAAAAATTTCAGCCCAATCAAAATGAGTTTTTTTTCAACCTTGCAAGACTGCTAGTAAATCAAAAAATCATTATTTCCCCAGCTCTAGTAATCAGTGCTATTCAAACCCATTTTTTCCTCTGGTCAGCTTTTAGAATGCTGTCTGAATTCCACCCACTTCCCTTGTTTAACTACGCTATTTTTATTGCAACTGCTGCACTTCATTATGCTTTCAGTGCACATGCTGATATTTGTACATTAAATACAAATTTGGAAGGTCAATTTGATTGATGATTTGTACACAAAAAGATTTTTGTGCAATTTTCACACACCGTTTTCACTTACTCTTTACACACAAAAGAATGCTTAGCTTGTTGCAAATGTTTCTGGTGGACACTGGTGTATATGAGAGCTAGACAAAGGTTTGTTTTTAATGTAAGCTTCATAAAGAATATGTTACCTCAGAACAAATTTAGCAAGCAATGGGAGAAGTGCTAAACATTTTGACATTTTTTCCTCTATAGTTTCCTTCAGCGTTTTTTCAAGGGCAAGCAGAGATGTGTGGATCGTTCTGCTATGAAATCCTGAAATGTTGTAACCATAGGTCACGATCAACTCAGACAGAGGCATCTGCTCTTCTTTATTTTTTCATGAGAAAGAACTTTGAATTTAACAAGCAGAAGTCAATAGTCAGGTCCCATCTACAGGTGAGTGACGTCAAAGATGTACTTTAAACACTATATGCATGGGCTGTCTAAAATAATTCCACTGAAATTACTCTTTGAATTATACAAATCATGATTCTTCTCATTCTAATTTTTTCTGGTATGTCTAAAAACATTGGAGCATGTTCACCAGTTTGTTGATTGTGGTGATGCAAAACAGCCAGTTAAGTCAGGTTTATGGCTTCTTTGCATCACAGACACAGCGTATAGCAACTGGAGCATATCTAACCCAATCTGCAAACATGATCATACCTAGTGTGGGTTTAACTCACCTCTTCAGTTTTACAGCTGTGTGATTCAATCAGTATAGATACAAGGACATAAAACTGAAATACTATAGTGATCAGATCAGACAGGATCTAACATTTTACAATGTAAACAATTATAAACATATAGAAGATAATCCATTAGGGTATGTCTACACTTGCTCCCTAGTCTGAACTAGGGATGCAAATGTAGCATACCGAAGTTCCTAATGAAGCGCGGGATTTAAATATCCCACGCTTGATTAGCATATTCACATCCGGTCGCCATTTTAAAAATCCACTAGTCCGAATTAACGCGCCGCGTGTAGATGCAGTATTCCGAAAGAAACCCCTTCCCTCAGATTAACTGTTACTCCTCGTTCAAAGATTAGGGAGCAAGTGTAGACATACCCTTATGCATATATTTATATATTTGCTTATATTTTGTCTTATAAAGTATTTGTGGAGAGCCCTTTTGTCTTCCAACTCTTGCTGATTTTTTTTCAAGCAGGAAATTAAAACTATGTCCAAACTTTGCTTTTCCTTAAGTAACTCTACATTGTTGTTTTTCCTCTCCACCTAAAGCTCATCAAAGCTGTAAGCCAGTTGATTGCAGATGCAGGGATTGGTGGATCTCGGTTTCAGCATTCACTTGCAATTATAAATAATTTCGCTAATGGAGACAAACAGATGAAAGTAAGAAATGTATTATGTCTATTACCTGTTATATATGATTGAATAATAGGAAGAACTGATTCACAAATGCCTTCATGATAAAAGTATTGACTTAATTTTTATAGTGATTCATGGTTCATATTATTATTTTTTCAAGTATTCAAGCTATTGTGAGGTAAATGTTCATGAATCTCAAAATTTTAATAAATATAGCATGAAAGTTTATTCATCTGAACTTATTACTTGTTATTCACTACTTGCTGTTCTCCTTTGGAAAATGTTTTACTCATCCACTCAGGGAGCCAAAATTATGTGGTATGACTGATAAAACACAATGAATAACAAGTCATTGAAATTAATATTTCCAAATGATACTTAGGCTATAAAGTATTCTTTCAAGCTATTGAGCAAATACTTATGAATAATAAACACATAAATAGAAGATGTAGATTGGTTTGTGAACAATTTGGACTTAACTCATAATAAGTATTATTTTAATAACTGTTTAGACCCCAGTCTGCTAAATATATTAATCACAATTTAAAATCACAACTTGTATATTTTAGAAGCTCTTTTCAAATGCTTTTCAAGAAACATTTTCAACTTTCTTTATACTTATGGGGCTTACTCGCCTTTCGCTAGCACTGGTGTATATCAGGATAAAGTCAAAAACAACAAATAGTCTGGTAGCACTTTATAGCCTAACAAAACATGTAGATGGTATCATGAGCTTTCGTGGGCACAGCCCACTTCTTCAGATGACCGGAGTATGAGTAGGGGATATGAAAACTCGAAATAAATAGGAGAGGGAAAGTAAAGTCAATTGAAGTCAATAATTACCCTCATGTAAAGTGCAAGTAACATAGGAGTATCTCCTGAATTTTTTTTATTATTATTACTATTTTATTAAAGGGCAGTTTGGAAATTCTTTAATTTACTAATTTTGTATCTGTGTATTCTGATTTTGTAACATTCTCAGCCCTGCCAGTCAAAAGAAAAGAAAAGAAAGTTTTTGTTTTGTGTAAGCCTATGTAAAAAACTAAAAACAAACAAATTAAACTCCACATCCCTCTCCATATCAAAAATACAAACAGCAGAACTGACATAAATATTTTGTTAAGGAACAATCTATGATCTGGCCAATAGGACAACCAGATTTTAATCTTGTTTAGTTTGAAATGCTTACGGTGCAAGACTGAGATACCATTTCTTACACTGAATACTTCCTTCTGCCATTGATGTTAGTGGGGCTACCAATGGAGTAAGGTATTACTTGCATCAGTAAGTATATCCATACTTCGCAGTAAATTAGTAACCCTTTAGAAACTGTTGTACCGATGTGAGTCCATTGATTTCAGTGGAGTTACTTCAGTGGTGTAACTGAACTCAGAATATGGACTAGGGTTTCAAATGGATTTTGTGACACATCAGTAAATAAATGTCAGAGAACTATGTGAAATATGTAAATTATAATGGGACTATGAGCGTGGTCTAAATAGGAGTCTGTTCATTAACTTCAGGCCCACCCAGGGGGGATACTATAGTTTAACATGATAAAAGTGTGCCTTTGTAGCCTTTTCAATTATTCACTGCTTATCTTTTCCAAAGAACAGTCATTTTCCAGCAGAGGTGAAAGACCTGACCAAACGCATCAGGACAGTTTTAATGGCCACAGCTCAGATGAAGGAGCATGAGAAAGACCCAGAGATGCTTGTAGACCTGCAGTACAGTCTAGCAAACTCATATGCCAGTACACCTGAATTACGAAGGACTTGGCTTGAGAGCATGGCCAAGATTCATGCTAGGAATGGAGATTTATCAGAGGTAATTTACATAAGACCAAAAAATAAGTCTGTATTTAGATTAAGATCTACAGATGAAAAAGCACTCTAGAAGAGTTTGGTATTATTAATTGTGATGATTATTAGCTAAGCAAAACATGTCGTGTTCCTCGCGTAACTAAAATATATGGACTAGGTTGAAGAATGTCTGAACATGCTATATGTTACAGACTACATAGCAGCAATTAATCATGACCAGCTGTCATTTTTGTCTACAGTGACCACAAAGTCATTGTCAGCATCTTGTTAGCTAATTTGGCTGTTAACGTTTTGTTTAAAAACAATGTAATCTCCTAAAGAAGACAAGAATATGGGGATTTCCATTCCCTTCTGGGTTGGTTGATTAGTTGTTTGTTTTTTTTCCTAATGAAGACAAGAATATGGGGGTTTCCATTCCCTTAAGGGTTGGTTGATTAGTTGTTTGTTTTTTCAGCACAGAAGATGATCTAGGTTGTGGCATAATTTTGGCAAAAATGTAATTTGTAAGAAATTGATTATTTGGACCCACCCCCAAAAAACTTAGCCCAATAATATCTTGTTTAAAAAATAATTATGTAATTTCTATGAGTTAGATCTTGATGTTCTTTTTTAATTCTTGCTCAATACCTATATAGGTAAAACTCCTATTTAAAACCAATGATAGTTTTGCCCAAGTGGGGACTTTAGTATTTGATGTATTCTGTCTCCAAATTGTCAAACTGTTTGTTTCCCCCTTTCCAAATCGTGTTTTGACAATGAAGAGGGTTTCTGATCCTCAACAAACTAAAAATGTGAGATATGGAATGCTATTCTAATATATTTACATGGCCTTTGGTTTCAGGCTGCTATGTGCTATATCCATATAGCTGCCCTTATTGCAGAATACCTGAAAAGAAAGGGTAAGTTAAATATATTCAAGTACAATAATTAATGTAAAGAATTACACAATTCACCACATTTTGCAACTGATTTACTTCATTCCAGTCACATTTGTTTGTTTGTTTTTCAAGTTATCCTGCCGCTTGTACCCTTCATACAGGCTTAAAATATGAACCTAGTAAATGTTCATTGTGACAGCATAATAAAATATATAAGAGATTAATTGGATGTTTAGTTTTATAGTGCTAGAAGAGAATGCTTCATTTGTTAGTGTATCATTATTAAATATGCATGTTATTAACACATACCAATAGCACTATACTAATATCATCTTACACTACCATAGGTTACTGGAAAATGGAAAAGATTTGTACCTCACGTATGTTCCTGGAGGATGCTCAAGTTTCTGATAGTAATCTGTTACTAACTACTCACACTGGAGGAAGTGAGTGTTCTAACCATGCCTGTTTATGGATTAAATAACATCATTTAGGATATCAAGTTACTGCTTTAAACTGATCTAGTGAAAGAAGATATTCTCAAAGGGAAAAGGGTGTTGCATGATTATATTTTAATAGCAATTAATACTAGGAAATATTATGTGAGGCTTTTCCGATGCTTGTTTTGATTCAACTATTAAATTATCTTGATGACTTGTACTGTATGTCACTAGTTCCAATAATTGCCAACAATAAGCCATTCTGCTACTGATCCATTCATGATGAAACTCTTACTTTAGTCAGTGGGTGTTTTGCAGAGAAATAATGTCATAATAAGATCTTGTAATTTTCATTTCAACATGGCAAAAACCGCTTAAAAAGGACAGTATTATTATATATCATCAATGCCCACTAACAGAAGTAAAAACAAGACCTTGATTGTACAATCAGAAAAAAATTAACATCCAGATTGTGATATTATACATAGCATATTATGGACAGCTTTTTAATTGGAGACCATTTTTTTCTTCCTTATCATATGATAAAACATTGAAGGCCCAATTTCTGTAAGGTCCAAAAGTATCTCTTGCAAGATGGTGCATGCCTCTGTCTGCCACTTCAAGTCGAATAGGGCCAAGTCTTGCAAGAGAGACACCACAGTTTGTATGAATGGGTTTTAGCCCTTTCTTTTCTTTTCTTTTCTTTTCTTTTCTTTTCTTTTCTTTTCTTTTCTTTTCTTTTCTTTTCTTTTCTTTTCTTTTCTTTTCTTTTCTTTTCTTTTCTTTTCTTTTCTTTTCTTTTCTTTTCTTTTCTTTTCTTTTCTTTTCAATTTATGATCAATCAGGTTTTATGATCAATCACTTTTATAATTCATTTATTTGGGGCGATAGTGAAATGCCTATGCAGAAAAAAATACGATTATATTTTGGATAAAATTCCTTGATTTTGTAAGGACTTTTAGATCCTAATCTGTAACTAGGTGACTCTTCTAGCCATTACATTATGGCTACATGTAATTACCTCATTTCAGGGGGGAAATACAGAATAAAAAAAGAAGTATTGTTGCAGTTACTATAATGCTGCTTCTCTAAGAATTGATGTTCAAATTAATATATTCAACTTTCCAATCATTTGCAGAACCATTATCAGAGTCAACAATAATATCTTTTCTTTTCACATTAACATAGAAAACCCAAAACATGCATCAACTGAGGTTAGAAACTATTAAAAGAAGGAAGCATTAATTTTTAAAACATGTAAAACATTCATTTGTACCAAGCTTGAGATGAGTGGAGAGAGACAAGAAATGTATTAAAGAAGTGAAAAAGTACGCTTTTTGCCAAGCAGGGTAGGGTGATGGGAAAGTCATATGTATAAAGTTTAATGGTAATATCAAAATTCAGAGATAGAAGAATGTTAAATAAGTCAAAACAAATAGTAATTGCAACCTCTTTGTGGTGTGTGTTGCTGTGTACAGATGCACAGTGATATAGCCTATTTAATTCTAAATTTAATAGATTACTATCCTTCACTTTTTTCTAATGTTAAATTAAACATCATGTGGTTCTGAAAGGTGATTAACATCACCTTCTCTGGCAGATTTTCCTTTTAAAAATCCCTAAGAGTATGTCTACACTACGGGACAAGGTCGAATTAAGATATGTAACTTCAGCTACGTTAATTGCATAACTGAAGTCGAAGTACCTTAACTTGACTTTTGGCACTGTCCACACTGCAGGAAGTTGAAGGGAGAACAATCTCCCTTTGACTACCTTTACTCCTTGTGGAAGCAGGGCTACAAGCATCAAGCAGAGCACCCATCTCAGTTCGGATTAGCCGGTCTTCACTAGACCCGCTAATTCAAACCCTGGAAGATCAACAGCGATAGTTTCGATTGTCTCTGTAGTGTAGCTACCCTAAGTGGCTGATTCTGCCAATCTTACCTGTGGTAAGCAATACAGTATTTTGTATGTAGTCTAACTGAAAACCACTGAACTACTTACACACTTAATTTTGTGCACTATGAGTGGTCTAATTGACCTCAGAAGGACTACACACAGTGTGTGAAGATAAATATTTATGTATGCAGGATAAGGGCTGATTGTACTATTCAATGTGAATAAGGGTGGTAGACTCTAGCCTGTAATCATACTGATGTACCATTACCATAGAATACTGTGTTGTATGTGTAGTTTTATGTGGGTTGCCAAAGTGACAGAACACAAGTGGAGTAGTGACACGAAGAGGACAGGAGTAGATTTCTCTAATATTGCACTCTGAATACATATTGGGTAGAACACAAGTGAAGTAGTGACACGCAGAGGACAGGAGTAGATTTCTTTAATATTGCACTCTGAATACATATTGGGTATCTGCCTAAGCAAGTGAATGTGTGGCCATAGAGGGTACTTATGATAATGTGTCAGTTCCATTTGTGCCACTCATCACTTGGATTGTTAAAAAAAAAAGTAATAATCCTAGACAAATAAAATCGACTGTTCTTTAACATCCTATAGCTTTTAGCAATTTATGGTTATACAAGTGTTAATTAGCATTGTTGTGGCTTGTACTTCAAGGCTTATTTTCCATGGGATGGCCAGCTTTTCTAAATATTACCCCAAACATTAAAGAAGAAGGAGCTATGAAAGAAGATTCTGGAATGCAAGATACTCCATATAATGAGGTTAGTAGTGGTAGCATTTACAGATTAGTGTTCTGTATTCTTTTAACTTTATTATATAAGGGTTATTTAGGAAGCATTAACCAGTTCACAATTCCTTGTCATGTAACTATCAGAAGCATAATAGAAGCAAAGAGAGATTTGGTTTAAAGAGACATCATGTAGAGGAATATAGTAACCAGATCTCTCTATTTAACAGAACGTTACCATGTTACCGAGCACAATTACCACACCTATGACATGTAATTTCTTGTGATTTTATTGAATTGAGTGAAATTTCTATGTACAAATTTTACAGACCAGGAATGTCTATCAAATGTTAATATATAGTAAACAATTGGAAAGGTGTGCTGATGTGTTTGTGTGTGTTGGGGGGGGGGGGGGGGGGGGACAGTTTGTAGGAGTATTGAATTAGTATCCAAATATCTAAGTGTATATTTGTTCTCTGTCTGTATTGGTAGGTATGTAATTGGTGTGTTAGTTTTTCTAGAGCGAGCACCTCCCATATTTTGGAACCATTGCTCTATGGTTAGACCGTTTTTCTTTTTCCAATGACAGGCTACTAGGAGCCAAGCAACTACAGCAGAATCTCAGAGTTATGAACCCCTTGGGAATGGAGGTTCAAAACTGAACAAACCAATATGGTGGTTCTTTTTCAAGTTTACAACTGAACATTGACTTGATACGGCTTTGAAACTTTACTATACAGAAGATGCTGTTTTCCCTTCATATTTTTAGTAGTTTACGGTTCTTTCCCTTTATGTTTCAGTCTTTTGTGTTTAACACAGTACAGTGCTAAATTTGTAATTTGTTTTGTTTTGTTTCTGTATCTCTGCTGCTACCTGATTGCATACTTCCAGTTCCAAATAGGGTGTGTGGTTGACTGGTCAGTTTGTATTTCTGATGTTTATTGGAAGTTCTACTGTACCAGCAGATGACAGATTAATTCTTCATTTCCTTTTGTGTGACCATTTGCTCCCAAAATTCCCGGGAAGAATATTGAAGGATTATTTGGCAATAAATATCCAACAATTTGGTATAGTAGTGACAAATTGCATCCAATACTCTCTGATGACTGGGCATGCCCACTATACATACATAAAATCTCTTTCACCACAATTTTTTCAGCTGGTGTGAAGTACCATTGAAACAGTGTCTTAGAGAAAAAACATGGGGGGGTGCTACAAAGCTGCTGATGCTCTTTTTGAGCTCACACCTCATTCATTTGTGGTAATTTGTTTATCTAAGTCCTTTCTCTTTATGGACTTCTTTTTTAGACAGTTTTCTGTAAAGCTTGGTATAAATTAACTATCACTTTTGTTTCCTAAGTCACCTGATGCCATTACTTCTATTAAAATTAACTTTCAGTATGAAACAACTAGAAAGTTGAGAATTTTAATGCCTAACTTAAAAGCACTGGTATCACAGGGAGTGGGACAGTCAAAGATAGATTTGATTACTAAATAAGTCAGAAAAGTTTCTTTATTGAATAAGTGTCCAAATGTATGTATTCCATAGCTCTCTCAATCATTAAAAGTCTCTGGTTTGTGAATTGATTGAAGGATCTGAATTATTTGTAATGGCTATTATTGGTGAAGGAATAGAACTTACCTTTAGTTCTATTCCAAAGCCAAAATGTAGTGTTTGCTAAAAGATACGCATATATTTCTGGAGGGTAACAACAACTCCTACATTATAAATGTGATAAACTATGTTAAGAGGATCATCTTGCCCCATGCAGACCCCTTTCATCTTAAATATGGCAACTATTTAACAACACACAATAAAGTCACAAGTGCATCCAATTTAAATGACAGGTTGAATTTAGCTTGAATATTTGTAAAATACCAGAATTGAAATATGGGGAGGAAACTCAGATTAAATCATCTTCCTGCTTCTCCCAAAAAGTGCTTTAAGGGGTTTTTTTTGTGTAAAAATATTTTATAGCTCATCCATTGGCTTGCTAATGGCTCTGATAGAAGCATACTAGTGATCCAGTGGGTAGTATCATTTTCTATTTGTTCTTCAAAGGCCCAAGCACTGACTGAACCAGTCTGGCATTACTTCTCCTATGGCAGAAGCACAGCATGAGGTAGTATGGCTGCAGATATATGAGAGCTGGTAGATTCTGAGGATTTGGGCATTTCTTATTTTGGCATTTTGAACCTGTTAAGTGGTACTTAGTCTTACTGGAGAGACAGTAGCAGATTACCAAATAATTTTCACCAATTTCTTACTAACTTTCTTTTGATTATATGCTAATCTACTATATAGAAGATATCTTATAGACATAAAACAATGCATATGTACCGTTGATGTGATCATAATTACCAAATGCAATCCAAATAAGCAAGCAAGTCACCATGGGATTTTTATTTGTTGGATTACAGAATATCCTTGTGGAGCAGCTGGAGTTATGTGTTGATAACCTGTGGAAGTCTGAAAGATACGAACTGATTGCTGAAGTTAACAAGCCTATCATTGCTGTATTTGAGAAACAAAGAGATTTTAAAGTAAGTCGGGTTTCCAATTAACATTTCTGTCTTAAAAAAATGGCAGAAAAATACTGATCACTGTTCCTTGAATTGGCATATTTTAATTTTATTTTAATACTGCTGGGGTTTTTTCCCATCCTTTAAATGATAGAGTTAATATCTTGTCTGAAGCCTTGTGTGAGGCTACAGAACCCCTGTGAAAATAAATTTTCTTTGGTTCCTGTGGCTCCAGGCTCCCCTGGATATTCAGATCTACAGGAGTAAAATTACCACATACTGTCACCTATGAAGGTAGTAACCAAATATTGGTCCATATTCATGGTGATTCCCCAGCCTACGTGAAATGAGTGCAGTGGCTTTTAGAGAGTTGAGGTCCACATCACTATAATGATTGATGCACTGAGATCAAAAAGAGGGGAGGGCCCTGTGCCAATGTGACATTCATTGCAAGATTTGGGTCTAAACAATCCCCTTTGGGGCAGTCCCAGCAGAAAGACTAACAGGGTGGAAAAAGTTAACTATTCCCACCAGGGCAGGGTTTGGGGACATTGGTGGGAAATCAGATGGAAACTCACACTGATTTGCTTTACCTCTCTCATGAATGGACGAAAGGCTTTGATTTCAAATTCTGCTCCTTTCATAGGCACTAAAATCACATTTGCAAATTCCTTCAGACATACGAACTTGTAAAGCTCACGAAAACCTGCCTGGTGAAATTACATTCACATTCTAGCCATTTTTTACTTAGAGTTTTAGTCTGTGTCTAGCATTAGATGCCCCTTCCAGAAAAGTCTGTTCTCCTGTTTACAACTCCTTTGACCAAATGAATAAGAATTGCAAAATGTATTTGTCAGAGAGTTGCTTTTTAGCTGTTGAAATATTTAGTGATACCTAAGCATAAAAAGAACCACAATTACCAGATAAAGGATTTAATTTTGAAATTATTCCATGCTTGCTTTTATTTTTCTTTAATTTGAAGTAGAAAAACAATTACTTAATAGTAAAGTGATTGATTTCCTTGTTTAAACTGGAAAAAATAACTTGGCATGGGATGTAGTTTAGGAAGCAGGAACACAGTACAAAGCAGTTTCCACCATGATAATAAAGTTATAGAATAATTGAGAAGGAGCAGGCCTGCTGATTGTGGGGTTCGGGTAAAAGGGGGAGTTTTCCCAGGGCCCAGTGATTCTAAAGGGTCCATGGTGGCAGCAGCCAGAGAATTATCACCAAAGCCCACGCTGCATGGTCCGGGCAGCGTGAAGAGATGACTGCCCCACCCAACCCCTTCTGCCTGAGGCCCCATCTCTTCTGGGAGCATAGAGTCCACTCCCTCCCCTCACATGCCCAGGGGCCTGACAGTCCTGTCAGCTCCCCTGAGAAGGAATAATGACTCTCTCCGAGCACAGTACTCAGGAGCCGGTTCTGGCTAGCGATAGCAGGGAAGGATAGTGCTGTTCTAATGGACGGGTGGGGCTCTTTGGTGCAAAAGTGCTACAAGGAGACTCCTGCTGCCTGCCCCAAGGCTGCCCTTCTATGTGTGCCTCTCAGGGTGTGCTCTTCCTCCCATTCCCTGTCCGCTGATTCACCGCTCAGTAATCACTGCCCATCAAGACAGGGGCCCATCCATCACCAGATAGATCTGTTTTTCTACATGTTGGGATAGACTCACACTGTAACGCTTCCCCTTGGGAACTCTGCAAGAAAGTTATTAGTACCCTAGAAATGTGTGGCCAGGAGAAGGCAGAAGTCTTGAAATTGACCTCTCAGCTATTGCTGAGGAAAACAAAGGTAATCACCCACACATGACTGGGAAGCCCATGGGACAAATGTAGCTTGAATAAAGCTTTCCAAAATGTCACATTACATTGCACTTTTTCTGTTCTCTTTTACCATAGAGACTGTCTGATCTGTATTATGACATCCACCGATCATATCTGAAGGTCGCAGAAGTAGTAAATTCTGAGAAACGTTTGTTTGGGCGATACTATCGCGTTGCCTTTTATGGGCAGGTACGTCAGCCTCCAATTCCATGTCTAAGTTTGTGGGTGTATATATAGAAAGGTGTACATTTTGGGAAAAGCATTCCAGACACATTTGTCTTACAGACATTAAAGAAGGCAAACATGGTGTAGTGTATTGAACAGCCTGGGCTGAACCTCAAAGTCTTTACTAAGGACCTTTACATCAGTGTAATGTATGAGAGTGGATTTATGCTGGTGCGATTAAGAGCAGAATTTGCTCCTCAATTTCTAGTCATTCCTTACTCAGGTAAAGCTGACTTTTGGTGACAAAAGTGATGTTTTGTGTGAGTAAGGTTTGAATAAAACCTGAATAATGACCTCCGTATTCAGTCCCAGCTTTGTAGAGCTGTGAACAGAAGCTAATTTATTGTTTCTTCCTGACTTTCTGACCTTTGCTTTCCAGCCCCTTCTGATTCTATGCAATATGCTGTACAGTAGTTTTATGCTATGTATTGTGCTTTTAGCCTGTTCAGAACAATCCCTGTGGCATAAATTTACACTTTTCCCCGTGGCAAATCTTTGTGGGAGGCCAGCATGTTCCTTTAAGGCATGTTTGGCAACTGTGCCATTTCCATTCCTCTGTAATAATAAGGTGTGTAAACGACAGATGGATATGAATCATTCTGTTTGCTAATTAGATTTTAATGCTCTTTTCTTCTTTTGATCTTATTCAAGGCTGTGGTAAGTTCTCTGTTCTTTTGCATGCTTTGTTTAATTCTTCTCACTCATCCTCCCCCATACCTGGTGCAGTTTACTTAACCTTAACTCTTTGTGCTTTTGACTATTCAGTGTGGCAGATAAAATAATGTTGTTTCATTCATTGTCACATCTCGCAGACTAATTTTTGTTTGGTTGGTTTCCTTGAATTACAAAAACCTATCTGTCACAGTGCTGCACATATACGCCGGTCCCTACTCCCAGTGACCTCCGAGAGAGCTGTGCTATTATTTAATGTAGCACGAATGCTGCTTAAGTGCAAATGGTTCCCTAGACCTAAGCAGCTACTCAAGAGAGTAAGACTCCTAATTCTGCTCAGTGACATAAGACCTACTACAATCACAGCTAGAACCGTGGTGCTGTACACCTGCCAGTCCTTCTGTGAGTAGAGGAGGGTGAGTAGGAGAAGGAAGGGACCAAGGATTGGTCCATGTTTGCTAGTCAGCAAAACTGGACTCTTCACGGTGGCAAAGCAAGCTGCACCCCATAAAGGACTTACTTTCCCACACATTCCTGAGAAAGAGACAAGCAGGGGAGGCATTGCATCTCTCCAAGTCACAGTTCCTCCCCACAGCAACTCCTGGAGTGGTGCTGCAAAATGCCAACCTTTATTGAAGGTCAAGCCTTAAGATGCAAATTAGTCTTACGTGAGTTGCTGAGCTGCAGCTCAAACAAAGAGGATTAAAATCTCTATTACAGATTGAACCTCCCTAATCTGGCACTCTCTGGTCCAGCAACAGCCATGGTTCGGCATGGTTTTAGTTAGCCGGATGTCCACTTAGCATGGATGTGGGCAAGATTCCCACAGTCCCATAAAGTTCGTTTATAGCCACCAGTCCTGGCTCTCAGTGCTCTGTGTTATTTAGCTGTAAATCACCCCTAAGTGTCTTCTAAAAGCCCAGTCAGCAGTGGAAGTGTTGGTAATGCTGTTAGACAATATTGACCTCCCTTGGTTCAGCAAATTCTCCAGCTCCACACCGGTCAGGTCCCAAAGGTGCCAGACGAGAAAGGTTCAACCTGTACAAAGCAACGGCTTTTTTGCAGCCAGTGCGGCTTCATTTCAGGGGCACAGACATGAGTGGGCCGATGAAGCATCAAGGGTTACCCACCTCCAGCCCTTCCTCAGCTCCCACCGGAACATGGGGCTTGACTCTCCATCCAGTGCTCCAGCTGGGCCAGTGGAATGGGGCTAGTGGATTGCACCACTCCGCTGCCCAGCACTCTCAGCAGGCACCAAGGTCAGAGTGCTGGGGCTTTCCCCCACTTTGCCACCCAATGCTCCTGAAAAGGTTAGTGGATTGCACCACTCAGCTGCCCAGCAGGGTCAGAGTGCTGGGGCTTTCCCCAACTTTGCCACCCAATGCTCCTGAAAAGGAGTGGGGTCGGGAGCTTGCAAGCGTCCATGCCTCAACCTGCTTCCCCTGCTGGGAGTGCTGGTCGATGGAGCACGTTAAGCCCCCAACTTCACTCCCCTGGAGCATCAGGTAAGTGGAAAGAGGCTAGCCCCTGCCCTGACACCCATTCCTGGCAGGGAAGCAAGGGGAAGTGAAGTGGGCGGGAAGTGCAGAGCACAGATTTTTATGGGACCCATTGCCAAAGCATCTATCCCTTTCCCTCTTCCAAGACTAGTTGGAGGAGAGGGAGAGGTGGCCCCATGGCTACTAACTTTCCCAGTCATTGCTCACCCACCTGTCCCATTCTGGCTTACGCCACTGCTTTATTTAAAGAGCCTTACTGGTAAAAAGGAGTATGATTATTCTGCAAACAAATGCTGTTTGGTTTATATCCTGGCACTTGCTTAATTTAAGCTGTGAACAAACAAACATGGCCTTAAAAGACATTCAATGGGGTTTTAGTTTCACTAAGCAGTAGAGAGCTTTCATATTGTGGGAAGGGGAGGGGGCTGGATTGTTCCTAATGAAGCACCAGTGATAAAAGGTAGATGTGCAATTTGAAATTAAAGGTAGGTGCATTAAAAGAACAATGATGGGTAATATCATTTACCAAGGGAAATCTGAAGGGATGCACTTGGTCAGCCAAAGAACATTCTTGGATTAAAAAAAAAGTTTACAAATATTCTCAACACCATATTACTAACCATATGTAACAATTTAGCAATAATGCCTCATTTGAAAGGAAAAAAATCACTCCATTTCCATGCATGGCTGGTGCCTGTATACTTTTCCCTCTAAAAAGTATCCTTTTTATAATTCTCTAAATTCCTTTGCCCCACTTACGAATAACTTCCATTTTCATTACACACCTTAGACTTTTTCATCCATTCATTGCCAAGAATACTTGCAACCCTTAGTAATGAAATTTATAACCAAGGTCAAATTTATAACCAAGCCTGTTATTTTGAAACTAGCCAATTAGCCTGTCATAAGATGGGATTTTCAGGTCTTCTCTCCTGAGTTCTCTCTCTCTCTCTCCCTTCCTCCTCCTACTGCCTCTCCCCTCTCTCTCAGCTCTCCTCCGCTTCCTGCCTCTCTCTCTGTCTCTTTCTTTCTCTTCTCCCCCACCTGCCTCTCACTCTCCCTTTTCTCTTCTCCTCCTCCTCCTGCCTCTCTCTCCCCTCCGTCTCTCCTCGTCCCTCTTCCCCTTCCCCTTCCCTCCCGCCGTGGTACTTGGCTGAGTGCTGCCTGTGAGGGAGGGGGGCAGGGCGGTGACATACACGGCCAGGGGGTGGAGCCATGTATGTCACCACCCTCTAACCGAGAGAGAGGAGGGCGGAGAAGAGTGGAGGAGACAGAGAGAAGACATAGAGGAGAATGGAGGAGAGTGGAGAGAGAGTAAGAGGCAGAAGGAGGAGAAGAGAAAGAGAGAGGCAGGGGGGA